TATATTCCTAGTATATACGCAAGTTATTATATTAATATCATAAATGAACGATTATTTGATTAATCGCTAAAATGCAGGAATGTTAGTCGACTAGGAATATCTTTAGTCGGGGGCAGCCCTAAACAATAGAAATATTTTGTTGTGTTATAATGAGTAATATTTGCTTCACTTGCTCTTGCAGTTGGCCTTTGAAGTGTGGTCGCCAGGTTTCTGGGATGCAAACCAGTAACATTTTGTAGTTCATTGGTCAAAGCAGTATTGAAATAATTTTTAAAAATTCATTAATTAACCCATTATGTTTCCATATTTTGTCATATGTCATATATATATTTGAGTACAGTGAACTCATTGTCATGTTAAAAAAAAAACAGTCTGAGATAATTCGCGCTTTTTGACATGGCGCAATGTCCTGCTGGAAGTAGCCATCAGAAGAGGGGTACACTGTAGTCATAAAGAAGTGGACATGGTCAGCACTCAGCAGCAATACTCAGTAAGGCTGTGATATTCCCAATCCTAATATTCCCAAAGTGTGCTAAGAGATAATCCCCTACACTATTACAGCACCACCAGCCTGAACCATTAATACAAGGCAGGATGGATCCATGCTTTCATGCTGTTGATGCCAAATTCTGACTCTACCACCTAAATGTCGCACCAGAAATCAAACTCCTCAGACCAAGCAACATTTTTTTAATCTTCTATTGTCCACTTTAGGTAAGCCTGCGTGAATTGTAGCCTCAGTTTGCTGTTCTTAGCTGACAGGAGTGGCACCCGGTGTGGTCCTCTGTATCCCATTTGCCTCAAGGTTGGACGTGTTGTGGGTTTAGAGATGCTCTTCTGCATATCTCGGTTGTAACGAGTGGTTATTTAAGTTACTGTTGCCTTTCTATCAGCTCAAACCAGTCTGGCCTTCTAGATAGTTGTGCCTGAAAATTGTTGTTTTTTAAATGGAGTATATTTTGTATATTTTTTTGTTTGTAATTTAAACTGTGAACATGAAATCAAAATGATTCTCTTGATGTATGTTTAAAATATAATGACAGCCTTTTATGATTCACATTTTTATGTGACTTCAAAATTAATCCAGGCACGGTGATAGGTGATATGTTTTTTCTTTCAACTTATTTTTTTTTTACTTCACCCTTTTTTTAAACTGATGTCTTTTTATATATCTTCGGAAAAGTGAAGGAATTTTTATTTCCAAGAACGTCAGAAGAGTCTCAGAGCCTCTAGTGAAAGCAGCCTGTACAGGTGCATATCTCCAAATTAAAAGAATGCTGAATCGTAACATCTGAAATCCTAAACCCCACTCCACTTCAAACTCTAACTCTTTCTGCAATGCTTGATGACGTGTCTGTTCTCCGTGCGTTTGAAATGCACCTCTCCTCCTCCCGCATTCAACTTTCCATCATTGCCTCGGGAGCGAGAGCCGCCTCCAGCTTTCCTATCTCCTCCCTGACATCTCCGCATCTTAATCCCGCCTTTTTTGCTCTGTGTGAAAGCTGAGGGTCTTTGTAGAACGGAGAAGAAAAGGGATTTAGCCGAGTCTGTCTGATTTCAAAAAGCGAAAATGCGAGAACAATTCAAAATGAATTCTTTATCTGTCAGATAAGTTTTTGTTGGAGACATTTCCCCCCTATCTGGATGTGCTGAGTTAGCTGTGGAGAGATTCAGGTGGTGTAGATCTAAAAAGAGCTCTTTGTAACTTGACAGGGGAAGAATACGAGTTGGAAAACCCATCAGCTGCTCTCCGGTGCCACTAGGAGCTCGACGAGACTCTGAGCTGCTGCTCTCTGTTATTGCTTGAGCTCCTCGTACTCATCTGATCTCTGAACATCTAAGTGACAGTTTCGCTACACTCCGGTAACTCGCTAATGCACTTTGATTGATACGCGCATCTTTGAGCCAATCAAACTACGCTGATTAAAAACTCTTCTCGTCTCAGACGTGCTTCTTCAAAAAAAGTTTAGTTTTTTCAAACGTCTTGACCTAAACTTTTTCAGCTTTGTTGTTGATCATCAAAAAGACAATGGAGGACATACATAATCATAATGCTCATTCAACATTTTCAGTGGGGTTTTTATAGCAAGAAGTTGATCACAGATTTTACATTTATTTTTTTTGTCACTTCATTCTAAGGTACAATTAAAACCATTAACTAAGACTTTTAGCTCAGTGATCTCCTAATTTTCTGCTTATTAATAGTAATTAAGATAGAAGTTGGGTTCATTCATTCATTCATTCATTCATTCATTCATTCATTTTCTGCTGCTTTTCTGGGGCCGGGTCGCAGGGGCAGCAGTCTTAGGAGAGAACCCCAGACTTCCCTCTCCCCAGACACTTCCTCCAGCTCCTCTTGGGGGATAGACATAGTCCCTCCAGTGTGTCCTGGGTCTTCCCTGAGGCCTTCTCCCGGTGAAACAGATGACCGAGCCACCTCAGCTGACTTCTCTCCTTCATGAACCGCCACCTTATTGTGTTGGAGGGGTTTGATTGCCTGAGTGTTCCTAAGAGCTATGTCGTCGGGGGCTAATGCCCCTGGTAGGGTCTCCCAAGGCAAACAGGTCATAGGTGACAGGTCAGACTAAGTGCGGTTCAAAAACCCCTCATGAGTTCAGTGACATCAAGGACTGTGACGTCGCCCGGTATGGCGCAGCCGGGGCCCCACCCTGGAGCCAGGCCTGGGGTTGAGGTTCACATGCGAGCGCCTGGTGGCCGGCTGGGCTTAGCCCGAAGGAGTGACATGGCACCATCCTCCCGTAGGCCCACCATTTGCAGGAGAAGCGTAAGGGGCCGGTGCATTGTGGAACGGGTGGTGGTCGAAGGTTAGGACCTTTGACAACCCGATCATCCGGCACAGACTGAGTGGTTTAGGTATTGGGGAGGAATAGGGTTAGAGATGTACAATAAATTCATGCAGAATTTGTTATTTTTACTGAAAATATTTACAGTAGTAATAAGTACTAACTCACTAACAGCCAATATCGCAATAATAGCCAGGTATATATATATATTGCTTGTTAGTTTGATTACTGTTGATTTCAAATGCAATAAATATGTTTGTATAAAACTTGTAATAACGGTGCTTATAATTAGTGGGTGCGCCTAAATTTTGGCTGATGCGCCTAAATTTTTTAAGTTAGGAGCACCGGTGCTACCAAGCTAAAAGGTTAATTTCGAGCCCTGCCAATGTCTAGTCATTGTCATATTCATTATTATCATATTCATCAACTGCTGCAGTTTTTTTTTTTAAAGTGTATTTAGGATATACTTTTTTGAGCTGAAATTCTGTGAATTAAACTGCCCCCCCCCCCTCCCCCCAAAAAAAAATGCTAATCATCAGGATAAGAGTTGGCTCACTATAGAACAAACATGATTGATTTTTATTTTTATTTTTTATTTTAGCATTTATGAGGAAAAAGCTTTGCTATGGATTTGACAGCTTTGTTATGGATGTGAAATTTGTGTGACTTTGGTACATCAAATAAAATTGTTCAAAAACATTGATTGAGTAATTTTTGAATATGTCTAAAGTACTGGAAAATAATTGCTTAAACAAAAAATGTAGAAACAGTTTCGGTATTTTGTTAAAAACGACATTTTTTTTCATGGCAAGGTTTACATTTGCATAGAATTGCTCATATATAAAAGAAAATCAAACACAGAGAGTGTAAAAATCCTTTTGTATGAGGAACTTCTTTCTTTCGCCATTCATACACATCTGCAGCTGACGTCAGAACAGCAGAAACTCTTGCTACTTCACCAACGTCACTTTAGTGCTAGTGTTTAAATGATTCTCTAGCATAATGTCTAGAGTGATGACAAAACAGCTGATTTTGCTCATATTTTAAAATTATAAGGCTGAATGGCATGAAATGCCATTAGTCTATTGAAATTTCCCAGTTTTGCTCTGTTGCAATTGGGAGATTAAAATAATTAAAACTGAAAAAGCCAAAGCAAAGCAAATACTACCAGATTACTGGTGTGTTTGCGATAAGGAAAAATGCTAAACACATGCGGGCATTTCTTCCTTCTTTCTTTTACTGAACTAGTCTGCAGTAGCGAAAACATTTATCCATCCATCTATCCATCCATTTAGACTTGCAATGTAACTACCTATTTAATTGCACTAAGGGTTCTTTCACACTAGCACTTTTGATCCACACCTAGGTTCGTTTGACGTCAAAGTATGGTATGTTTAGCTAGTGGGAACATTGTATTCTAAACTCGGATGCGCACCCATGAACCGTACCCAAGTCTGCCTAAAAGAGGGGGTCTGAGGTGGTCTGTGTGAACTCTGTGTGGTACGTGTGAACTCTGTGTAGTGAACTGGGGTGTTACGGTTCACTTTTGATATAAATGCAATTGTACCAAATAACTTCTGGTAAAATATATTCTACTGTTTGCACTTTAAGAAGGGGTGTTATTTAAGAGGGCAGCAGTTGTGCCACAAGTTTGCTGGCCATAGGTATTTAATTAATGCATAAGAATTAATTCATGCATGTCTTAAAAATCCAAACATATCATCAGGATTATTTAAAAAACTACTTATGGCCGGTAAACTTGTGCCACCACTGCTGCCCTCTTAAATAACACCCCTTCATAAAGTACAAACAGCAGAATATTTCCTAGAGAAAATCCATTCATACCATCTACTTTAGCTGAACCCTTTGAAAGCTAGGTCTTTGTCATTTGTTCATATGTCGTCCATCAGCTGAAAGTGCATCAGACCACCTGTCAGTGTCTTTGCCACCATCAGTAAGATTGCTAGAGTGATTCCCCCAGAGAAGTGCATGTTATTTTTAGCTTCATTTATATCTGAGATGCTGTCTGTCTCCCTAAGACAACCCGATCGCCTCACCTCATTTAACTCATGTTCAGGACTAAGTTTTGACAGGAGTCCTTGTGATCTGTTGTACAAGATGCTTTATGTAAAAAAACTTTCACCAGTGGCAGGGCGAGATCTGCTGCAACTTGACTGCTGTTCTGTGTTTCTACAGGTGTCATTTGCCCGTCCATACAGGTAGAAGACTGGAAGTTTCCTCAAACTGCCAGACACAACATTACAGGTAAAGACAGCTGCTAATGGAAATACATACAGTTGAAGTCAGAATTATCAGCCCTCCTGTATATTTTTCCACCAACTTCTGTTAAAAGGAAAGAAGATTTTTTTTTATAAACTGAATAGTTTTAAAAACAAATTTCTTTTATCTTTGCCATGATGACAGTACATAATATTTTACTAGATATTTTTCAAGATAGTAGTATTCATCATAAAGTGACATCATCTTAAAGAGGCTTAAGTAGGTTAATTAGGCAAGTCATTGTAGACTGGGTGTTTGTTCTATAGACAATCAAAAAATGTTTGAGGGGTCTAATAACATTGATATTAAATGTTTTTTTTTTTTTTTATTAAATAGATTTTATTGAAATGGAAAATGGAGAAAAACTTTTCTAGAAGACAAAATATGATAGGAAATACTGTGAAAAATTTCTTGCTCTGTTAAACATAATTTATGAAACATTTAAAAAAGAATACAATAAAAATTTTGACTTGAACTGTGCATACACACACTTGTATAGATGGTTTACAAGGACACTCCATAGGCACATTTTATTTTATACTGTAAAAATGGCTCTACACCACCTAAACCCAATCCTCACAGGAGATTTTGAACGTGAAAAACCTTGTGAAGTATGAATTCTAAAGTTTTGAATTACAGGGACATGAGGTGTGTTCCTGTAAACCACCTTAATTGAGTAGAACTAGGTCATATCCATTTTAATATACAGTTTTGTTTCCCTGTAAACCAGGGGTGTCCTGGAGGGCCGATGTCCTGCTGAGTTTAGCTCCAACTTGCTCAGCACACCTGCCAGGAAGTTTCTAATATACCTAGTAAGTTTGATTAGCTGGTTCAGGTGTGTTTGATTAGGGTTGGAGATAAGGACACCGACCGTCCAGGACCGAGTTTGGACACACCTGGTTTACAGGGACACAAAACTATATATTAAAATAGATATGACCTAGTTGTACTCAAGGTGTTTTACAGGAACACACCTCATGTCCCTGTAGTTCAAAACTACACCCCTGCTGTAAACCATATAAACCTATTAAAAAGGCTGCTTTCTTTTATCTTTGCCATGGTTACAGCACATATTATTTTTCTAGATATTTTTCAACATACTAAAATGTTATTTTTTATCTATTAATTTTTTTTTTATTAAAATAGCTTTTGTTCTAGTTGAAATGAAGAAAGACTTTCTCCAGAAGAAGAAAATATATATTATAGGAAATGCTGTGAAAAATTCCTTGCTCTGTTAAACATCATTTGGGAAATATTTAAAATAGAATAAAATACTAATTTTGACTTCAACTGTACATACACAAACATACTTCTATACATTGTTTACAGGGACACTCTTAGGCATATTGTATTTTATACTGTAAAAATGACTCTACACCATCTCTATCCCTAAACCCAATCCTCACAGGAAACCTGTGGCACATTTTGAACACGAAAAGTCCTTGTTAAGTATGATTATTAAAGTTTTGAATTACAGGGACATGTGGTATGTCCCTGTAAACCACCTTAATTGAGTGCCACTAGGTGATGTCAATTTCAATATACAACTTTGTGTCCCAGTTAACCATATAAACCTAAAAAAAAGCCACCACTCTTACTTTAAATGCAAGAACACATCCTGTACTAACAATTCCATTGTTCTGAACACAGTATATCCAGCAATGGAAAAGATGTTCATTTTACATAATTATGTGATTTTTTTGTTGCCATTTGCAATCATTCCAGCACTTTAATACACGTAAATTAAGCCTATAAAGCAGTCTCAGGGCACATAATCTGCCTATGAGCTAAGAGATAAAGATACTCACAATATTACGGCTCTTCCTTTGGTCTAACATGAATTGAAAACTGCTGCAGCTGCTACAGTATTAAGATTCCATCTTTAGGCTTCTTTGAATTGAAAACTGTCACAGCAGAGCTGATACATAGCGTAAGACGTGTCAGGTAGCAGCCAGCTGATTTATTAGCCTGTAGGGTGGTAAATGGATTGATCGCCCGATCTGCAGGTTTCAATCTGGCACGCCGATTCTCTCTGCTGATGAACAGTGAGGTCAAGAAAATCCGAAACCCAAGAGGTCCTGTCATCCTCCGCCTAGGCAAAGTCCAACTCATCCAACCCACAAAGTAAGTTTTTTAATCGTTCTTTTTTTGTCTTTGTTTTTCTTACCTGATTTGTTTGGAGCATTTGTTTTGAAACCTGAGACATTAACCTGCGGTATCAGACCTGTATTGGTATCGGTACATTCCTATTTTTTGCATATAAGTACATATGCACAGTATCACCTAGATATTGTTATCAGAGTATATGTAGTTTTTGACATAAGAGTAGATGGGTACAGTTTCAGACCCGATACATATACAAATATCGGAATCAGTACATCCATAGATTTTGACATACAATTATGTGTACATGAGCGCAGAATCAGACCTGATGCTGATACCAATATAGGTATTGGCGCATCTCTACTTTTTGTCATACAAGTATATGTATACAAGGGCAAAAAATATCGGTATTTGGTCATCCCTACTTTTTAGTAGTTTTAATTTTTACTACCGGTTTTAGTCAATTATGTGTACATATGTCTGCACATGAGCTCGGCATACCAGTATTGGTATAGGTGCATTGCGAGTTTTTAACATAATGTAGATGAGTGCAGTATTAGACCTAATACTAATACTAATATCGGTAGCGGTGTATCTCTATTTCTTAGAGTACAATGAAATGATTGCAGAATCAGACCCATTACCAGTATTATATTAGTGCATCCCTAGATTTTGACATACAATCATGTTCACATAAGTGCAGGATATCAATATCGGTTTTGGTGCATCCATAGTTTTGCCATTCAAGTTTGTGTATATAAGAGCAAATTCCAATATCGGTATTAGTGCATTCACATTTTTTGCAAACAAGTATGTATACATGAGAGTGGGATATCTGTATTGGTGCATCCCTAGTTTTGACATGCAAGTAAATAAGTGCAGTATCAGATATCGGTTTTGGTGTATCCATAGTTTTTAGCATTTAGAACGGAATTCTAATATCGATATTAGTGTATTCATGGTTTTTGCAAACAAGTATGTTTACATGAGCGCAGGATATTGTTATTGGTGCATTCTAGTTTTTGGCATGCAAGTAAATGAGCACAGTATCAGACGTGATATCAATATCGGTTTTGATGTATCCATAGTTTTTGCTATTTAATTATGTCTATATGAGAGCAAAATTCCAATATCCGTATTAGTGTGTTCATAGTTTTTGCAAACAAGTGTGTTTACACGAGCATGGTATTGGTGCATCATTAGGTTTTGACATGCAAGTAAATGAGCGCAGTATCAGACTTGATATCAATATCGGTTTTAGTGCATCTATAGTTTTTGTTATTCAAGTTTTTGTATATGAGAGCAGAATTCCAATATTGGTATTAGTGTATTCATTGTTTTTGCAAACAAGTATGTTTACATAAGCACAGGATATCGGTATTGGTGCATCTCTAGTTTTTGGCATGCAAGTAAATGGGCACAGTATCAGATGTGATATCAATATCGGTTTTGGTGCATAAATATTTTTTGTCATTTAAGTATGTATATATAAGAGCAAAATTCCAATATCGGTATTAATGTATTTATAGTTTTGGCAAACATGAATGTTTACATGAGCACGGGATACCGATATCAGTATTGCTGCGTCCCTAGTTTTTGACATGCAAGTGAATGAGCACAATATCAGATGTGATATCAATTTCGGTTTTGGTACATTGATAGTTTTTGCCATTCAAGTATGCATATATGAGAGCAGAATTCCAATATCGGTATTTGTGCATCCTTAGTTTATGACATGCAAAGAAAGGAGCACATTATCAGATGTGATAGCAGAATCAGTACCATTGCATTACTAGTTATTAAGTTACAAAAGTGCAGACATGATACCGATACCAATATAAGTAATGGTGCATCCCAATTTCTTAGCATACAAGTAAAGGAGAACAATGTCAGACCAGATAACATTATCATATCAGAGCATTAGTTTTTGACATGCATATATCTGTACATGAGTGTCAGACCAATACCAATATCAGTATTGATGCATTCAGCAGCTTTGCCATACAAGTGCATGTACATGCTTTTAGTATCAGGCATAAAACCAATATTCACAGTTTGTGGCATGTATGAAGTATATGTATGGAACAAAGCAATCAGTCTACAGGTCTGAAAACACCCTACTTAACCACGGAGAAATTAATTTCTGTCATCATCTATGACCTTTTAAGGCTGATATAGAAATAACCACATTTTCACTTTCTCTCAGATTATAGAGTCTGTTCATCCTGCATCTAAATGCAAAACAATTCATAGTACAATACCATAATTGCAGAACTACCAATGTATTCCAGCAGGTCAATACAAGCCTTGAATTCTTGGCCGTTGACTCTTATTCGGTCTAGCATTTACACTAGAATCACAAAACAATCACAATGGAGTCAGAGATTTTGACTTCCTCTTTTTCTTATGTCCATCTCACTCCAAATAAACATTTCAACAGATTGCTCGCTGCGTTGTGATTTTTCACAGAAATGCTGTTAAATCTTTTATTAACAATAACTTTAAGTGCTTTTGGTGAGACCTCGAGCCACAGTTACAATCTGTTTTATGACAGTGCTTTTACTGAGCTGAGCGTAGATGAAAAATGACAATGATATAAGCTAAAGGGTGCTAAATTTTCCCAGTTTGAGATGAGAAAGTCAGTTTGTGTTGGTTTAGACTACACATCAAATTCCTTATTAGAATTTCCTGTTATACTTTTCTCGTGTAGACTTAACAGAAAAGAGAGCTTGAGTGTTTGAGCCAAATAGGTCAGACGAGTAATACTGAAGCGCTCGCTTTTGTGCTGAACTGTCTAACCTTTTCAGACTTTTTTGTACTGTCCTCAATCTACATTGTATACTGTATTTTTTCACATCCACAAACACACGCACACAAGCACACACACACACACAAACATTGTTAGGTAACTGTTATACAAGAACATCCAACTGTCAGATTTTTATCTCAGGCAAGTCAACTATTGATTTTCTTTTTCTTTAAAATATGATCTAAATTCTTAAATGATTCTATGTTTTAGCTATTTATTTTAATAATCTATGTAATTACTTATATGTACAATTAAATTCAAAATTATTAGCCCCCCTGAATTATTAGCCCCCTTGTTTCCCCCCCAATTCCTGTTTAACAGAGAGAAGATTTTTTTCAACACATTTCTAAACACAATAGTTTTAATAAGTCATCTTTGCCATGATGACAGCACATAATATTTGACTAGATATTTTGTCAAGATGTACACATACAAATGTAAAATGTCTATAGAATCACTCTTTTAGAAGACATGTCATGCTCTTTTTTTATTTGATAACATGTTAAGGTATCCAAGTAAAATAAACTTAATTCATACATTTAAACCGGAGTTTTCTTTTAGAAACGTCCTGCTGTTATCAGCGCGCAGTGGATCTTGGGGCATTCGAGGCCACAAAGGATCCACCGGTTGTGTCCTTCATTACCTGGGAAATGAAGGAAGTATTTTGAGGCTGTGTTCAAAGGAGCCTTCAAATTTTTTTGGAAATTAGACAGCCTTCGATGCACCGCGATGACGCAGTGCACTTCAAATGCATCCTTCGGAGGATGCAAACTTTGAAATCAGACACAGCTTATCTGTGCGATTCAGCGAAAATAATGCACACCCTCCAGCCAATCAGAATCAAGAATTTCAACAGATTGTGAAATTTAAATATATTTTATATCTATAACACTGGTCGCACCAGTGTTGATATACAGCCATATCGCACTGCTATGAGTGTGATACTCCGTTTTACAACAGTTTTACAACAAAATCGTGTATATAAAAAGAAAATCAAACACAGAGTCTCAAAAATTATTTTGTAAGAGGAACTACTTTCTTCTGCCACTCATTCACATATGCAGCTGATGAAAGAACATCAGAAACTGTTACTAATGTCACTTTAGAGCTAGTATTGGAATGATTTTCTAGCGTACTTTCTAAAGTGATGACAAAACGGGTGAGTTTGCTGACATTTTATGATTATAAGGCTGAACAGCATGAAATGCCATCAGTCTAGAGACATTTTAATATTTCTCTCTCGCAATCGAGAGATCACAATAATTAACCCTGAAAAAGCCAAAGTAAAGTAAGCACGAGATTACTGTGGTGTAAATACAGCACTACAAAATACAAAAGAGAGAGATTGATTGAGTGTCACTTACCTGTTCTATAATGATTTGATGAGCTGCAGAAAACACTGTTTTTCTCCCCTAAGGACTTATTGTGCTGTCTTTGTCGCCAGCTTGTGCCAGAATGTTAACCGTCTTTGCTCGCCTCAGTATGACAGGCTGATGTCTGCCAACGCGCTGAATCTCCGTTATTATAAATATTTAAAATAGGCACTATCCTTACAAATAAACTGCATAGGTGCAATCTAAACAACTACATTCTAACCTAAAAAGCCTCAAAAGTACAATATGTTATCCCAAAGCTGCAATATTTGTCAAACTGTCGTGAGTTTATAGATCTGCTGTCACTTTGTGTGGGCGGAGTAATACACAAGGGTATATAGGCTGTACGATTGCTGTTATTACAGAATACCGCACGGCTATCAGCCAATCAGATTCAAGAACCAGACTGATCATAACCTTATATAGAAGGTTTTACTTGAGTCAAAGCAGTAAAAGTGTAAAAGGTTATTGATTCACAGAAGACACTCACTAAACTGTCATTTAGCGTAATAATAGCTTATGTACAATTATACAAAATGTTATAAAGCATATTATAGGACATTATTTCACCTATATTTTGGACATTTTATTTTCAGAAACTTGATTTATTAACTCTCTTTTGCTGAAGATAGTGAGTCACATATATGATGGATAGCCTGAGGGTGAATAAACAGTCATCTTTGGGTGAACTATTCCTTTAATATCTATAATTCAAACATTATTTAGTGCATTATTAGCCTGAACGACTAAGAAATTGTAGACTTTTGAGTCATTTTAAAGTAGTTATAATGGAAACTGAGATGATTTCTTGTCTTTATCTCACTACATAGTTATCCATT